CTGTTTTTAAAAATAGAATTTAGGGCCGGCCCGTGGCTCACTCGGGAGAGTGTGGTGCTGATAACACCAAGGCCACAGGTTCGGATCCCATATAGGGATGGCCGGTTTGCTCACTGGGTGAGCGTGGTGCTGACAACACCAAGCCAAGGGTTAAGATCCCCTTACCAGTCATCTTTTAAAATAAATAAATAAATAATAGATTTTAATTTGTTATTTTCTGTTATAAAAAATAGTGATTATTTAGCTGGGTAGGGTGACCACTTGTTACACCTCAGGATAATTGGTGTGGCGTGTGGCCCTGAGACAGAAAGGAGCCTGTTAGTCTCAACAGGACCCAGGGTCAGCAGTGTGCCATCTGGGATAGGGGCACCATACTTTGGAAGAATTGATGGCAGGGTCACTGCAAGGAAAGGTCCTCTCAGGTGATCCTTGGGCCCAGCCCCTGCACATGGGGACCCTTGACTCTGGTCTGGCATCTCCAGCTGCCTCTCCTCGGGGACAGCTCTGCCTCATAATTGCACACCACACAATTCTGCATGTCTGGGTTACCCAGCAAGGCCAGTGTTGAGCATGGGGGGCTCCCGGGCAGCAGGGATGGTCTTTTCCTCACCACTGCCTCCAGGCCAGCCCATCCCCCAGCACATAGGGCTTCTGGGTGATCCAGCTGGCTGTGGTCTGGCCCAGAGGTGGGTCCCCACCAGTCCTTCTCTGTGCTGACCTTGTGACCTGGCATCCCCAGCAAGGCTGCCGCAGCTTCATCAGGATGCCCTGGCCCCAGGTTCGCTGGTGACTCTCCCGGCAGGGCCTGGGCAATGTCTCTGTTTTTCCCAGCTCCACACATGGGCAGGGGTTGAGAACCACAGCATTCCCATCAGTGGCTGAGCCTTGTCGGTCCTCTGCATTTGCATCTGGCTGCTCAGGGGTGTGGAGGAGCCAGGAGCCACCTGACCCTCCGACTCTGCTGCAGGAGCACACAGTGCCAGACTGTTCCCTTCTTCCCAGTGTCTCCCACGTGATGCACTGTTTCTCCCCTTTTTTGATAGAGATTGGTGAGGACCAGCAATATTCGAAAGGTAGGAAAGCCAGAGGTGGCAGCAGCGTCCTTCCAGGTGCTTGAGTGGGGTGGAGACCTGGTGACGAGTCACCCTGCTTTGGGCGCACAGGTGCTTCCGGCAGGGACAGGTTGCAAAGCTTGGCAGAATGCTGCTTTCCTACTTGGGCTGTCCTTGCTGACCATGCATCCTTGACCAGCAGCCTGGCTTGCTTGGGGTTCAGCTTGGATGTCAGTGTGGGGATGTATGGGGGACAGAGCGGTGGCCATTGTGATTTCTGTCCCCCAAGAGTTTCTTACAAGGTTTTCCTTGGGCTGACCAGGGTGTGGGATGGGGCAGGGAGACCAGCCTTGGTGGCACTTCTTGGTCACTCCATTCCCTTGCATCCCCTTGTCACCATCTGGTGGTGCTTGTGAAGAGAAGTGTCATCAGTGAGACTCTGATGGCTGCATTTGTGGGCATTTTTCTCTGCATGCCTTTGCCCCTGAGGAAGAGGAGCTGGTCTAGGACTCAGGCTGAATCCTGTTTCTGTAGAACAACATTCGGAGTTAGGACATTGCTTTTGGATCCCATGCAAAGGTATTCGCAGTTAGGAAGCCGTCCTCCCTGTACTGAACTCTCAACTAGGGCCCAAGGCCAACAGTTTGTGGGATGCGAGTGTCTAGCATCCTTGTCCCTTAGCCAGAGCCTCCCAGGCCATAAATATGGCCCTCTAGGGGGCAGCTCTGACCCCAGGGAGTTCACTGGGCATGTCAAGCTCAGGTGGAGATAAGACTTTTTAAAGAGATTTCACTAAATTTGGATTTGAAAAAGTCATTTTTAAAAGCATGAAGCCCAAAAAGAAAAAATAGGAAGAGCATGAAGGTTGGAGAGGTGACACAGCTGCTCTGTTGGGGAGGAGGACCAGTGCTGCTGGGAACAGGGGTGGGGGATCTGAGGAGACCTGCCAGGGACCAGGACTGCCCCGTGCCTGCAGGGCTGCTGGTACTGAGCAGGCTGCCAGTCACCTGGGAAGAGTTGATGGGAGAGGCAGCCAGTGGACAGTCTACATGCGGGTTCTGGGGGAAGCAGACAGCAGGACCTATGTTCTGAAGAGCTCCAGGGAAGCTGTGGAATTCAAGTGGAACATCCTCCCAGGGGGTGGAGAGCACTGTCCCTTTGTGGCCAGCAGTATCAGCAGGCTCCAGGGTGCATCCACGAGGGGCAGACCACTCAGTTCCCTTCTGCTGCCTGCTTGCCTCTCACTTGGCATCTACGGTGCATCTCAGACTCTCATGGCACAAACCCAGCTCCTCACCTTCCTCCCAAAACCTGCCCTGCAGCCTTCCCCATCTCAGACGATGGCGGCTGGCCCTCCCCTTGGCTTAGGCCAGAAACCACTGCAGTCATCCTTGCCACCTCCATCCTTCACACGTCACATCCACACTTCAGAGTGTGTCTGTCCAGAATCTCACCCAGCCTCGCCCCCCAGCCAGCACCTCTTTCTGGATGGTGCAGAGGCCTTTGAGTCTGCTCTCAACCTGGGGTGCAAAGGCTTCACAATGCACTCAGACCCCAAAGGCCCTGAAGGCTTGTGTGGACTGCCTTACCCACCAGTAGCCTGTCTCAGCTCGCTCTTCCCACCCCAACTCGCCCCCTGCTCCAGCCCCGTGACCTCTGACCTGCCTGCCTGCTGGCCAGGCCTCTGAATGAGGCTGCAGCCTGCCCCCACTCCTCCTGGCCGCCAACCCTCACCCTGCTCTGCTTTGTATTTTCCCAGCACTTTGCTGCCATGATATGTAACTTCCTCATTTCCTTTGTGTGTTGCTTCACTCCTGTCTCCTCTTGGGAGGACACCAGCTCTTGGGGGAGCAGAAACCTTTGCTCACGGGCATGTCCCAGGTGTCTGTCTGGAGCTGGCTTGTGCTGCTTCAGTGTTTGCATGGTGAAATGGGAACCGTCTTCAGTTCTTAAAGAAGTCCATCGTCTGGTGGTGGAGCAGGCGAGCTGCACAGGGATGGAACAGGACCGTGGTTTCTGGGAGGTGGAAAAGGACGGAGGAGGGGCTGTCAAGCTGGACCTCAACAGAGGCCAGCTCTTGGAGGGGCTCAGGGTGGGGAGGGCCCCCCCAGTGACAGGACACAGCACCCACCAAGGCCAGTGCAAGGTGTGTGCTTTGCTGGCAGTGCTGAATTAGGCGAAGTACAGAGGGTCCCCAGTACTGTCCTGCCTGCCTGCACCTGCATCACCTGCATCCCAGACTGAGGATCTCCCAGGGCTGGTCTTTCTCGGGTTCAGGGAGCCAGGGGGACAGGAGGGGACCGCTGAAAGCTGAGCCTGGGGTCTGGGGTCGGGGTCTGCCTCCGCATCGAGGAAATACATCAGCCAGTCTGGTGCTCTGATATATGCACATTTAGAATGTACATTGTTTGGTAATTTTAATGAGTTCAGCTTATTTATTTATAATCTCAAAGACACACTCGTGCATCTGTGTCTGTCAGCAGCCATACCACTGGCAGTGATAACAATAATTTCATCACAAAACCAGTAGTAAGCTTCAGCCCCGTTTACATATGTTGACATTTGAACAGCAATTCTTTTCTCCAAAAGAATAACATAAAATGAGAAAAACGTTATGAGGGATATACACCTGGGCTTAATTGTGACCGTTTTTACTCAGAAGTAAATCCCTTCAGACATTAAGGATGAAAACCCCATGGTGATGTTAACTTGAGCAGAAGAAAGCAAGTGTTACAAACTGCAGGCCTGTCTCTGAACACAAAAGGGTGGTGTGTCCCACAGATACATGCTGACGGCCATCTCTGCTTCTTTCAGCGCATGCCGGCAGACAAGGCCTATTTCATAGCAAAGGAGATTCTCTCTACAGAACGAACATACCTGAAGGATTTAGAAGTTATTACCGTGGTATGAAACCCAAGCCTTGTTTACTTTGATTTTCTTAATATGTCTTAAATCTGAACAAAGAGGCTTCTTCCTGAGAAATATCTCTTGGTGATCATGTATTTATGGTGTTAAATATATCCTTTAAACATGTATACATGGTGTTATCTATATATGGTATTACATGTATATCTGGTATTAAATATATCCTTAAGACATGTCTAAGTCAGGTGAGAACATTGGGGTCCAAGTTCTTGTGAAGGTATAAAGCTGGAAATGTGTCCATTTAAAACTTTAAACCGGGCCGGCCTGGTGGCGCACTGGAGAGTGCGCCGCTTGGGAGCGCAGCGGCGGCGCTCCCGCTGAGGGTTCGGATCCCATGTGGAGACTGGTTCCCGCTCACTGGCTGAGTGTGGTGCAGGTGCAACACCAAGGGTTGCGATCCCGTTACCGGTCAGTAAAAAAGACAAAAAAAAAACAAACAAAAAACAAACACTTTTAACCTAGAATTGTTTTGTTATATTTGAAAATTGGGTCGTCAGCAAAGAGGATGGCTGTAGTACTGATCTGAGCTGTCCTTGTAGTCAGTAATTAGAGGGT